AAACGCTGTTTTACCAACTTCTCACGTGAAGAATTTTGATTCAAATATGACAAAGTTTCGCCAGCAACTGTTCAAACTCAGAAGGCAATCGGTTAAACAAATATAAAGGGACCGACGGTCTCCAGCATTCATCCATATTATTCCCCGGCACCCGACTCGCATTCAGAATTGTAGTTGTGTATTATTTTTTGGCCTATGCAATGACTTGCGGTGACTATCCGCTGCACAAGCCAGTGCTTTTATTTTCGTGGACGTTTTCGGTATCAGTTAACCAGCCCCTGTGAGATAAAAAGCTTGGTCGGCCAGACCTTGAGGTTCGATCCTGAGATCACTTAAGTGACATACGGCAGCAGCTCCGCCCCATTCTTGCGATATCATTTCGAAAACGAGTTATAAATGGGGAGTCCAATAATAAAGTACTGATCTAAGCTTTCAGAAAGAAGTAACGTGACTTTACTCGTTATAGGAAGGACGCACGAAAGCAACGAGCAACTCCTCAAAAATTTGAATATGAGAAGCGGTTCGATGTTTGAAGAACACAAGTTCAACGCCGACTAGACACCGTCTTCGACGACACACTCGAGAAAGCTTAGATATCACTTCATCATTCGAAGAGTTTGTTGAAACAGTTGCCCAATCGAACCCCGGTCCGTTTGCCCGTCAAACACACTATCAAATCACAAAACTCTACAACGACATCCAAACTACTCAGTTGAAAATGTCCAACAATACTGCAGTCGCCGAAATTCTATGGGAAGCGTATGACATGTTGATAGAATCCGACATAGCGTCATGAGAAAGTCGCCAACGATACGAAGATAAAGAAAGGAAGGACGATGACCCCACAACAAGCTTACCAACGGAGTCATTCTGACGAAGGAAAGTGAAAGATCCAACGAGATAAAATAAGAAGTTTTCAAATGATGTCAAACGCCTTTGAAGAAGAGCCAAGGAAGTACTTTATCGCAACCAAGCTTGATCAATTCGAGACACTCCTGCAGGACGTTAAATCCTCACTCAGAACGGCAATCTCGATTATCAGAAAGAGTGAATACATAATCGATGACAAGCTAGTCAAACCAGAGACGTCCACTGCTAATCCCATAATACAACTTCTCGAAAGCGCCACCCGCAAAACGGATGATCTGCGCGAGTTGATCGAATCCAGCACCCAAAGGATTGCAGAGAAGATTGATCAAAGTTTCGGTGGCCTTGCACAGCTGCTATCGAGCCACTTGCCAGAAGAAACTCATCCAGCCACAGATCGAAAAACCAGCAGTTCGCTCCTAGACGACGAAAACAACAATCCACTACGCAAGCGAAGACAAGAATCTTCAAGAGGGGCATCACCCACACCGTACCGTATCACACTCGCTAGGAGGAAGGTCGAAGGACTCGCAGTATGCCCATTGAGAAAGTTCGGAAGATCATCTATTACCACGACAGATCCAAACATGCCATGTCCATACTGTGATGCCACTGCGACGCACGACCCTGACACATGCCCAATCATTACGACAACTGAACAGAGGAAGCTCGTTCTCGAAAGCAAAAGACTGTGCAAAAGATGTTTGTTTTCGTCGTGCCGAGAAATAACATGTTCGACCAGCAAATATAGCTATTGTCGTATGACGAACCACCGACAATGACTCGAGAGACAACCAGTAAAGTGGGTCGCGAATTAGCTCATTGAGCCTCATCGGGCACTATTAAATAATCGATCTACCGTATCCACTCGACGGCGCCTTTTGATCTACGATACGAATCTACGAAGTCGACGTGCACAAAACCCATCTACGCTGCGCACATTTTTGTACAGGACCCAAACCTAAATTTCCTGAATGTTCAGTCAATCACCCTGCACTCACCGCGTGTGACTCCTCCTTATCTAGTTCTAGTTTTAGTTGTATCGTTCTGCTTCCGGCGTGAGACGTAATAGTTAACTCATTATTTGTGCTCTGTTTTGTTTCTGGCGTGAGCCCATTTCATTCAATTTTTTTCCTGGCGCTAACCCAATATTATGTTCACTGTTTCTGGTTTGCCGGGAACTTCGCACCGCACTTCTCGTTGGTTCCTCTCCCGCACTACGCCGCAGAACTATGTTCATTGCTTCTTTCACTGAATTCGGCGCAGGCCATGGTATTACCTTGATGGTTCGCTATACTCGATTGTTCGTGCTCTCGGCGCAAACCGATATACTATCTTGATTTCTGTTCTCAGCGTAGGCAGCATATTACCTTGACTGTCTCTACCTCTGGCGCAAGCCCACGGTTTTATTGCTTATTTGTGTATCTTCCGGCACCACGCCAATTCGCTTGTTCCAGGTTTCAAATGTCAGTTTCGTTTCTCATGATCACTCTCATTGTATTCATTTTGCTACGATTCAAATTTTCTCCTCGAATCTCCTCGAAGTCACAATACATATTCGCATTCCTTTTCGCCATTTTCTGATACTATGAAGTTAGATAAAGTTCAATTACTCAAAGTTGAGGTCCCTTCTGTGCTGAGCTCAACCCGTAGAGCCACCGTTCAGTTTCGTCACCAATTTGCGAACCGCCAAACTCAAGTCTCGCGCGGCCAAACCTTACCAAAAACCACCACAGAAGATGATGTTTATGAGAAACGGATTGGTACGTAAGTGCTCCCTTTACGCTGAGCGGAACGAATAACTCTGCATGCTTTGGCTATGTGTATATAGGTGGGGAAGTAGTATGATGGACGGCCTATCTCCGGGTGTTGAGTAGGAACGAAAACGTCGCGGCGGGAGATCCCGCGCGCGAAGAAATGTAGCAAAATGCAGTAGCAAGTGAGAAACTCAGGAACAAAAGAACTAACAGGAGAACTATGCCATAAGTAATATCGTATAGCGATTGAGCTGTATAAAGAACGCCAGAGCTGTTATAACGAAGCAAATGGTGCGCGACAGCCGCGTGCACAAGACGTTTCCCCCTATCTCCGGAGCTGAGCAAAAGGAAACGCGCCAAGTAGGTAACATTTAAGAATATCGAGGGAGTATTGAAGAATACAAAGACCTATCCCTTTTTTCGAAACTGCTGTCCTTCGTGCTCAGACGTACCTCTCGGAGACTTACTTAGACTCCCCGAAAGCAGGACGAGCATGCAATCAGCGTCATACAGCGCGTTATAGAAAGGGTGATATTACGTTTTCCCTATTCATGAAAGTGCAGAAGGGAATCCGAAGTTCCGAGCTCTATCATCGACGAAGATCAGGGATGACGTTGATTACGAAGACGAAGATCAGGTGGGCCGGACACGTTACGCGATATAGTGGTGACCGTCGGACCAAGGTGGTCACTGACTAGAACACTCGGGACGTAAAACGAACATCAGGCCAACGAGATGGTCGGACTTCTTCACGAAAGCTCTGTACGAAAGGAATGCTGAACCCCGTGTTCCTGATGCGAGGAAGATTCACTGGACCTATGTGGCTCGTGGCAGGGACGAACGGAAACGTTCCCGGCGCCAGCTCGAGGAAATCGATAAACAACGGCTTGGCACGTTATACAGGTGAATGACCATTTCGATTTGGGATCTTTTCCTGTTCAGACCAGTCTGTATAGGTCGTGATTCACAGCAATGAACAAACTGCATGGACCCTTGATTCATGCAGCAACATGGCCCTGTGTCCTACTCGTTCGAATGCCCGCGGCGCACTACTCACCCCCTAGCTATCCCGTAACGTTTCGCCTCCTTCCTCACCATCCCTCTTCGACACGTCGTATATGTGATGGGGGGTGAGAATTTGTGTTTCCAAATAACTGTTGTGCCGCGAAGGGAAATATGTGTCCTGTGAAATTGTGCGTCGACTGCATTTTATTCCTCCGCAAAGTCACTGTAAGAGGCGAGTGCTCGTACTGAATCTTCGTTCCTGTTCAGTGATGCCGGTGGTCGTATCCCTTTGTTCGTAGTCTTTTTTTCACGATTCTCCTAAACCATGCTGAAGCGTTTTCATTTCTATTCTTTCAGGTTGTGGAGGTCAGAGGGAACGAACAAACTGTGATCCTTATCATGTAAAGCCCTTAAAGCGACAAATCTTCAGTACCCTGCTGGAAAATTTCCAAATGGCGGCTGTTCCTCCGGTCTTGTTCGCACATCTCACATCAGGTTCGGCGCTCTAAGAACAGCATCACGCCGCAGCCGCACACGAACAACGAAAGGCGGGTCTCCTATCCATTGTTCTATGAATAACTACATACCAACAGGCACCCGAGTGTTGTAATGCAGCTTCGTGAGTGAACCAAGTCAACAGCAGCTATCCTTTTCACGGAATACCTTCAACTTTGCCTCTTACTTACTTTGTGATCTGCACGAGATGATAACATTATAATGTGGATTACACCATCGATATAAGCTTAAGAAACTTAGGTATCCCCGAGTAGCAAAGTATGAGAAACTCCCTAATCTCGTTATTATCGTCTATGTTTAAATTTTTTGATTGTTCTGAATTATTATGTGCTAGTGATTGTTCCAAGGTTATTTCTAGTGAGTAAGCCATTAGTTCGTACTGGGTTGTTCCTGCTCCATTCGGTATTGTACAACTTTGTTTGCAGATTTCATTCATAGCAATTGAAATGGAAAAGAACAGTATTAACGATCAACCATCTATTAAAATAGCTATATAATGATTACCGCATAAGTTATAATAGCATATAATCTGTTTAGATCTATAACACCGCCTACATTTCGCCTGAAAAGCCATCATCTTTTTGCGGGGGCCTAATCTACTTGGCTCTGAAAACATGCTCTATTCTTTTATTGAATACTTAATGTGGTGTTAAGAGAAGTCCATTTGTATAAACAGCTTTTTGTACACTCTGTCACCTGTGTCGACAAATGAGTCATCACGTAGTAACAAAATGCAGTACTTATTCGTAAAATCTCATACTTTTTAGAGGCCATAGTTTTTGATGATGCTCACAGTTTCTTCCATTTATCCTCTAGTCCTATCGTAATCTTCCAACGTGACTTAAGTATTTCAGGATGAATGGGGACGAATCGAATGAATATAAAAAGATTCGTGCGTTTGCCTCTCTGCCTCGTACTGTTCGAGGCTTCCCCACGGTGATCACTTCAAGCCCAAAAGGTGATAAAATCATTTACTGTAATGGCAACTCTGTATTCATCGTTGATGTTGAGGTAGGTGTTTCCCTTTATAGATCTTCTCCTCGCCGTTAGCGTGAGCTTCTTCATTGCTTAATTTTTTCACCTTTGATTTTTCCTTTAGAACATTACCAATGTAGACATCTACACTGAACACCCAGTTGCGACCACCGTTGCTAAGATGAGTCCTAGTGGGTGAGTCCATCAGTTCATACTAGGTTTTTTTTCTGTTTATTAGTATTGATTTGCTACTACCCACGCTTTCATCCCGGCCGATTGGTTGAGTTAAAAGTGGGAAAGTTAGTATAACTGCTCGAGTCTCCTTAATCATAAAAGGATGAAATGGGATAGATCGGCGTAGGAACGTAATTATCATTTTCCATAGCATTTATGTTGGCTTTTATGCAGGGTAGTTCATGTCGTGCCGATTGTACATTACCCTATAGTACTTGTTGATCGACTGTTGCTACAGCGTTGTCAAGCATTAATAAGGGAGCAGCAAAGATGTATTCGACGGGAAACAGGAAGCTTGTAACTTTAGCGTTCTGATATCAGGGAAGTTTGTAGGACTAGCAGTATCCCACTTGACAGGTTTCTTTTCTATTCATTTTTTCTCCTAGAAAGAAAAACGTTTCAAAATGTTAAACGGTGTTCCGTAATGTTGCTCACTTCAGCTTCTTCGACCTTTCTTCAACGCGTATTGACTTCCGAATTGTTTCGTAACAATTGCTAAAACCAGATTCGCGCGCGTGACTCATAATTCCACGTCGCCGCCTGCACAGTTGCTGACGAAAGGAACCCGATGGTACCTAAATAGGCTTGAGTTGGCAACACTATTTACCCTAATTATTTAGGTGTCCAGATGGCGTACATTAAGAAGCAGCACCGCCTACCGCACCTTCTTAGTAGGTTTTACCGACAGCCTCTGCTGTTAGCCGTCCGATAAATTTATTTTCGTTCAGGCGTCAGAGGGTGTGCTGCCTTTGAAAACATTGTAATGGCAAGGTGTGGCTGAATGGGACGGCTATATGTAATAGGTCCTTTTACAATTGAACATTGGTTACGGCATTTTGAATTAATCAGTACTAATTTCGGTACCAATCAGATGAGTGGAGTTTAAGAGATGTAGTAAGTAGTTCCTGAGAGAGTTTTTCCCTCGATTCTCGTCATTCAGTGGCTCCAAAAGCTGAAGCTAGCAACTGGCGTAACTCACTTTCATGGTTTTGAACATTCCACGCACATCGTGCATCTCACTACCATTAGGAGTCGTTCGTTCCGAAGCCGCTTACAAAGCAGATCAGCCGTTGATGAGTTCCCTGTAGGCGCCTTCTAGTGCGACGCCGGCACCAAGTTGGTCGTAAACGTCGTAATATACAGTCAAGTGAGAGACCCACGCATCGTTACGAACCATGCTGTTGTACCTTTTTTCTACTGTTCCCTCTTTCGAAGACGTTTTCCCTTTATTTTGCTAGAACACAGTCGAGCGAATACTTGGTGAATTGGGATCAAGTAATGAACTCTTGTTCCAGTGTCAACACATGTCTTTGTAAACAAGTCTTTCGCTACTTTCGAGCAAGTGCTTCTGTGTTGCCCGTCTGCCGTGGCCCATTTCGTTAACCATAAAAAACGCGCAAGCAGATGAATAAAATGTCTCTTTATCAAATATTTTAGCTTCTACATAGCTTCCGGAGACAGTGCGGGTAATGTGCGTATATGGGATACAACACAGTCCACACATATTCTGAAGGCGACCTACCAGGTATGATTACGGCGTACCGAAGTATTATCTTTTCAATATTGAATTTTGCGCACAACTCTAGTGTTTCTATGGGTTTTAGGTATTTTCCGGAAGTGTCCGTGACATTGCATGGAACGATGACAGCAAACGAATTGCAGCAGTTGGAGAGGGGCGAGAAAGGTGAGCTGTGCTTCTACTCATTTTTAGACGATTGCTTTTAGTAGATGCTGCTTCCATTTTTGCATATTTTAGATTCGGTCATGTATTCTTGTTTGACACTGGTACCTCGAACGGTAACCTTTCTGGGCAGTCTCGACCCATGAGCAGCATCGACTTTCGTCCTACTGTGAGTTCAAAGTGATGAGGTTGCTGGCTGCATTACACTTTGCATTTTTACTGTTTATAACCACTGCGTGTGGTCTCAAATCGTAATTCTTGATTTTATAGTTTCCTCTAGAAATAGAACAAATTTAGTAGTTTCTTGCAAGAGATGAAGCCTTTCAATGTTTAGAGGCCTTACCGTCTTATTAGCGGTTCGGAGGACAACACTGTCGCAATATTCGAAGGACCACCGTTCAAATTTAAGACGGTATTCCACTCAATCCAACATCATTTGCATAACTTATTGAGGATATATCTCAAATTACTTCTATCATTCAGACCTTCCATGAACATTCTCGATTTGTTCATGTTACCAGATACAGTCCCGACGGCTCACTTTTTGCAAGCGCCGGTGCTGATGGAAAGGCGAGAATTTCAATGTTTCTCTTGGATAGCAAGAAATATTGCTTTTAACCAGGACCTCATTTTAGGTAGTGCTGTTCGAAGGAACAGAAGGGACTAAAACCGGTGAATTGATTGATGGGTCTGTGAAGGTGCGTTGACGTGAGTATTGGAACATCAGTGATGGCTATGTTACGCTCTTGTTCAGACAGGAGCTGCTCATTCTGGAAGTGTTTTCGGTTTGGCTTGGTCACCTTGTGGCAAGCGGATTGCTACAGCCTCCGGAGACAAAACAGTGAAAATCTGGAACGTGCCTGAGAAAACGCTCGAGAAGTGAGTCCAATCTCTTGCTATCTCCTCGATGAACTTACTATACAAAGAAACGGTGCGCTATTAGTCCATTCGCTTATGTGTCTTACAGCACAGTTTAAATCCATTATTTCGCTGATTTGTTGAAAGCAGATTAAGGGGAAAATGATAAATGTTTTGATTGATTACTTCAGTTCAGTTTCTCACAGCGCATCTCATGTTTGTGAAGGTGCTTCATTTTGTCGTGGCATCTACTGTGACTAGCAAACGAAGGCACTAATAAGTAGATCAGTATTTTCGTTGGGAAGTAGTGAGATATCAACTCGGGATGCACAACTTTGGTTTTATGTTAGGTCATCTTCACTCAGTCATCTGTGGGTGACCTTGCCTCACTGGATAATTGGACCTCCGCCAGACTAAGCTGAAATAATATCTAATAAACTAATAAGAAAGTGAAGTGAGACCGTGATCATGGTGTTTTCACATCTAATTTCGGCTTGCGACTATATGTGAAGTGTGTGAAGTGATCCCTGATGTGTGAGAATTAATGGTCGCACATCCGTTTTATCTAATATAGATGAATGTTGTAGATGGTAATAATGAGCACAGAGTAAGCCTTGCTTTCAGAGTAGTCACTTTCGGAGACTCTACCGAAGATCAGCAAATTGGTATTTCATGGAGCCCGAAAGCCCTCGTTTCGGTCTCGCTTGCAGGGTTTCTTAGCTTTATTGATACTTCAGGGAACATAACTAAGGTGAACTTCATAAAGTTCAAAACTCATGCTGATAGTCTATGGTTTCTTTTTAGGTCGTTCAAGGTCATAATAAGGGTATAACAGCACTAGCCCTCTCTTCATGCAAGCGATTTCTGATCACAGCAGATTTTGAGGGTCACATGAGTAAGCCGCCCGTTCATTTTTGCCTAATTTTGATTTCTTTTATTGCTTTCCTTCACTTGCACGCACATTTTTGTTGGCAATTCTCAGTGCCAAAAGGGCTTAGTCAATTTTTTATTTGCTATCGCTCTTCCTCTGTTTTGAAGCTTGTTCTTCTTTTGTAATGTGATTGCTCCTCTCGGGCAGAGTTTGCTCCTACTCTCTTTGCACACTTTACACCACTTTATGCGCGGTAGCGACCGGGTTCACGCGGCCCTGAACCCAAGACAGATTGCGTTCAGGGCCCTTGAGCGGTAATGGGCGGTTCAGTGTTGTGAACGCGTGGCCAGCAACGGCTAGTCCGTCGGTTGAAACAGTGTACATCGTTGAAATCTGAAAGCATCCAGTGGGCGGTGCCATGGGAGGCACAACAAATTAACTTTCATTACAGCCCAGACGGCGATGGGTCAACAAGTGAAATGAAGGGGGTCACCAGCGGTGGGTGGAGCGTTGTTGCAGTCGGCAGCACTTTCCACATAAGTTCATAAGGTAATTCAAAGAAGGTGTATAGGCCGGAAAACAAATGAAAGAGTGAGTAAGGCTTGGTACGAGAGAGCGAGTGTACACCTTGTGAACCTCGGCCCAAAATGGTTAGACGTGCGTGCAAATGGAAGATCCTTACTAAAACGTAACTCTGAAGAAAAACGGTGTAGAAAATGGGAAGAATATGGCTAGAGGTGCTCGGAATAAAAATTCACAGCGATTTTCAAAAACATTCTAGAACAATGGAAAGTGTTGGCTAGAGGCGTGCTTAGGGGGTTGAAGAAATTTGGCCAAATTGTAGAAGTTGGTCGTAGTTTGAAGAATTAGAGCCAAAGAAACCCAATCACGGTGAGCCAAGCGTTCTCGAACTTGTTGCATAAACTCATGTGTGTGGAGACGAAATGGCGTACATTTACTTATGCTATTCTTCTGTTGTATTTAAACCTTTTGTCGGTATCTACGTCCTTAAGCAAAATTTCCCATCATCCGCTTGTCTCATCTTACTGCAAATTTACATATTTACGGTGAAATGCTGACATTATCCAATAATCACTTGAATGTAAACTTTTTCGAGCTTTCTAACAGTTGGATGCTTAAATATATGTACAACATCAAACACATTTTTTTCAGCACGTTGGAATGTTTCGAATGGGGAGTCATTCCGCATACAGCCGTCACTTCACAACTCGCAGGTATGGTTTGGTCGTTCGTGCTGAGAAGTTCAATTCATGAAACGACTTCAGGTGGTCGGCTTGACTGTTGGACGTGATGAACTGTTGATGAGCTGCGCATGGGATGACACAGTCCGTTTTACACATGGTGCCGTGAGCAGTAACGGTGTGCCTTTTTTATTTGTAAATTTCTGCAGTGGTAGTTTTGTAGCGTTTCACATTGTTTAGACTCCATAAAATCAACTAGCGTGAAGTTGCCATCTCAGCCACAAGGAATGGCTACTTCACACGAAGGCAATTCAACTGTCATCGCGTGTTACAAGAACATATTGGTGTTTGAGGTTCGTTTCTTCATTATATACTACCTTGTATTGTATCTTTATGATGCATTTATGCACGGAGTTGTTGTTACATCCTTGCAAGCTTTAGCGAACTTTTGAAATATGCCTTATTAAGGGTGAGAAGTTGTCAGTGGATCTTGGCGTGTCCTTCAATCCTTCTTGTGCTGCCATATATGGTGATCTCGTCGCTGTTGGTGGGCAGGTAAGTTGCCTACTAGATTTTTTTCTTTGAATTGCCTGAGAATTCTTGCAATATCTTCGGCAGATGGAAATTTTATTTCAGGATTCAAAAGTCCATATATATTCATTCTCTGGAGGGGCTCTGCGAGAAAAAACAGTCATTGCACATTCAACCCCCATCACACGAGTTGCATTCTCTCCAAATGGAAAATACTTGGTTGCAACTGACAGCGGTCGTAAGGTGGGGAGATTTCTCTTCTTGTCGAGGAAATGTGCTTCTTACATGAACATCATGTTTTTGTAGGCTGTTCCTTACTCTGTAGATGATGTTTTTGTAGGTGGTTCCTTATTCTGTAGATGATTTCAAAACAATCGCTCAAAAGGAGTGGACTTTCCATACTGCCAAAGTGAATTGCGTGGCGTGGAGTCCTGATAACCGTCACCTGGCCACTGGTGGACTTGACACAAACATCATCGTTTGGGATCTTGAACGCAGTGGAGAACATCCCATCATTATTCGAGGTTGGTAGTCTCAAGCACCCAATGTTTAGTAATTTATCTACACGATTAATGCGACTTAATGCGCATGACTACGAAACGTTTTGTTTACATCAACGGTTTACAACTCAATTGAGTTCCATTTTCAATGTCTGTATGGGCTCAAGTTCGTAACCCCATAACTCGTTATCTTCATAAACCTTCTGCTGAGTGGAGGGATTGGCTGAGAATCCTACCATCTTCGAGCGAAGCATTGAACCGATGTTCGAGAATTCGAATGAGAGATATTTCATGTACCAACGCAACTGTAAGATTGAAACTTAGGTCGAATATCAAAGAAAGTCGGGCTTTCTATTTGACCTCCTTCCATTTCGTATCTTCCATTCACCATTTCGAAGCGAGCAAGCGTTTCGGAATGGCACTGCGAATTTCCAGCTCATTCTCCGTACTCCTATGTGCACTACTATTATCAAGAACATTTGAATTTTTTCCCTTGTTGTCTTCTAACCCCTTTCCGAGCTTAAAAGTTTTCGGGAAAATTCTGAATTTTTGTTTTTAAATCCATCAATCTCTGTGCATGCTCTACCATGGAGGATTGGCTCCCACTGCTTTGCTTTTTACACAGGCCTTAGAGCGCCTTTGAACAGATTCGTGCACTTTTGGACTGCCGCAGTAGACGGTCGCACATCCCTCCTTCCACAAACATTCGGCCCCTCCTTCTCAAATCAAGTTTGCATCCTTTTTCAGATTTTTTCAGATTGGACAGAATCACGAATTTATGATTTTAGCTTCGTCCACTTGGGTGCGCACCATTAACGTTTAAGGCCTATACATTTTTTCGGGGGTTTAACGCTTTCAAGCAGAGCTATAAATTCTTTTGATGAACACCTCTAAAGTGGGAGCACATTTTGTTCAGAGTAGACGGAGCTCCGTCCAGTTCAGACTATTCCGAACAACATAGATTTTTCTCTCTTCTACAATTTTTTGGTTTTATGCTGTCCAGGAAGCTGCTAAAGGATTCATATCAGTAGGCATATATCTATTCAATCGTGGTTGGTGTAGCCCACTCGTAGAATGCCCCCCCCCCCCCCCCCCCCCCCTCCCCCCTCCCCCTTCTTTTGGCATTACTCATTTTGATGCCAGTATCGCCCTCCTTAGGTTTATATGGCTCACATTTGCTCTGGTTATCATAGGCCCATGCCCCACTCCTCTCAAACTTGACCTTGAACTTTTCAGTTGCTTCTTTAGCTCATACCAATTTCGTAATGGAATACAGACGCACAAGGGAAATTAAATGTAAATATATTCAAGTTTTAGAACAAATCTTACAGGCGCAAAAAAACGAGAATACAAATCGTTGCTTTCGTTACAGTTTTTCGTTCATTTTTTTCTCTTTACAAGAGCTTTCTAGGTGCACACCCAATGTCACCAGTTAATGGACTTGCATTCTTGAGTGCTGATGAACTCCTCAGTGTTGGACAGGATGCAAACGTGAAGCATTGGAAAATCAATTTGCAATAGCTGCTTTAACGACTCTACTTTATGCTCTCATAATAGTGCCTTCTCGAGGGACTTATCTATGTACCATTGCTGAAAGATCTGCCTTGCAAAAGCTAATTACAAACCTTCTTTCATTAACGACGCTCTGTATCTTGTATAAGTGTGCCGGAGGACATTTCGCTTTAATAATAAACTTCTTGTAATATTATTGTCTATTGGTTATACGTTTTTTCGAAATTCTGGTGTTGTGCGATACAGCGGGAAGATTGAGAATTTGTTGACGAGTCTGCTTTGATTGGGAACAGGGGTTTGATCCGTTTCTGAGAGACTGCGATTTGATAAAGTCATTCAGCCCTGGACAGCGACTTTGCTATTTTTTTTAAATGGGTGGCGGTCTAAAAACTATCGTAGGGGATGAGGGCTTGGTAAGACGTGATACGCCTATTTGTGTACACGATGTGCCTCCACGTCAGTTGTGAGCGGTAGATACAGAGACGAAGATTCAGTAAGGGTCTCGGCTATTACAGTATCCCCCTGGCATACCTACACCGCCCCGTGTCCTTGCCAAGGCCCCTTTTCTACGCGTCGTACATGTGACGGGTGAAAATTGCTTATTAATATGGGGTTGGATTACCGTAGGAACCGAGTGCCCTACTGAATTTTCGTTTCTGTGCTCTAGATTAGCGCTGCATGACCGTGTTTTATGATATAATGCCATAAACCTTTTTTCAGCACCCCTCAAGTGTATACAGTACTTTAACATATTAGCTGTGAGGACTTTTTGATGGTCCTTGAACTACTCGCTAGTCGCTAAACCAACAACTTCACATATCACAGTTTAGGTAAGCTCAGAGAGTTTACACAGCAAATAACAATACAATACATCATTAAGCAAACGATGAAGATGCAGGTAAGATTTTGGGCACCATGCGGTTCTGAATCCCTTCTAGTGGCCTCCTATGCCCACCCTGCATAACATCCATTTGGTGAGCTCCCGTACTGAATGTTTAAATGACTGCGCCGCCTCTGAAAGATGTGATATTATATTGGACTAGTGGAAATCAGCCTTGTCTGAAATATATCCAAGCCTGTTCCTTAGGGTTGAGAGAGCTAAAAGAAGCCTCATGGATCCGGATTGAAAAAGAGAGGTAGCATTACCCTGTTCAGAAAGATAGTAGGTCCATAAGGCGAGCTCTTGTGATAGCCACGACTGCATCATTGACGTGATTGTCTGCTTTAGATTTCGGGATACTGACATGTCATATACCGTAAAGGTGAATCCTCTTCAATCCTCTCAAGATCGAACACTTTATTTGGCTAACTTTATATCACTATATACCTTTACTATATATCACTACATATCATTGTCAATATTACAAGGAGATCGATCATGAACTCTGCCATATATCGTTGAAAATGTGTTCGAACCAGATACGCCCAAGGCTTGGGCCTCACTGATTCGAAGTAGCGCCTTGAACTGAATTAGAGCCAGCGCCGTTGCTTGGGTGTTCTTTGGGTTGCTATCTGTGCTCCCCACCTCGGTGACCTTTTTCATCTGATCCGACCGAAGTTCGTTGTGATGCTGAGAGGGCGGTATTGATCGCTCAACTGCCTTCAGAAGGAACTCTTGAATTTCCTCATCTGGCGTAAGAATATTGCTAATACAGAAACTGCTTCTCCGTTTTCGGAATCTTTCCATTTCAGAAGTGAATTTTCTAATAGGAGACGGATACTGATAGTAGACGGTGCTCTGGCCTAATTGATTGCATCTATAAAGACAGATGCCTAGGAGTCCCACGTGCTCCATTTTAACCCTCGATGTTGTGGGTTCCTTGAATCGTGGAGCTGATCATGAGACATAAACGTGGGTAGGTGAGCAAGCACACTACTTACGGCTTACGCAACAGCCTGGATAACTCTTCATTTTGGCCATACAGTGTTAGACTCTAGAACAGAGATCGCGAAATATTGCGTGATATCATAATTTTTTGATACACAAGGTACCCTGTACCGTAGAGATTTCGCACTTGTCTGGGCTAGTTTATGCGCTCCAATGCAGCACACTTGCCGCAACAGCAAAATGAAAGCGAGATGTGGGTGGGCTTTACAAATTGCGCCGCATGGAAAGCTTCTCATAAGCAACGTTTATCTCATTCTATACTGTTGCTCGATGTAGACATAATTTTTGCGCTTAATTTGTTGTGACTGGCAGGAACTTCCATTCTTGAAACATCTTATTCCAGTACTCTTATAACTAGAGGGTTTTATGTGCGTTTCCTTAGAGCCGTAAGGATACCAAGTGCAGACTGTGTGAATTTTTTATTCAGAACTAGGTTTCTATGATGTAATGTGGAGTTCCTTTACTTATAACTACTAGATGCCCATTTTGAAATAAAAAAATAGAGAAATAAAATAAATAGTGAAATATAAGTTTACATTTTGTCAAAGGCCAACCGATGTGGAATCCAGTACTTATAAGTGCTTTCTAGACGAGTCTGGGGTCAGTTCATCAAAAGTGGAAATATAGGAGGTCCGGATGGCCATGACAACTATCTATCGTGCCTTTTTGCTGCGTAGGCTATAATAGAATATTAACCTTGTTGCCTAGTTTAGACGTGGGTAGTGCATTAAATATGGTAGCAGTTCAAACCCATTCACCCACCAGTTCATGAATTTCTACCAAAGCAATTGTCACTGAGTACGTTGGAATAGTTCTCAGAGGGGAGTAGGGAAGTAAGTTCCTCAACGCTACCAACCTCAAGTAACCTTTTTCTCCCTCGCAGCCACTTCTTTTTTCCTAATTTATGGCTGTAGTACAACCGTTTTTAGTCGCTTCTATCTTTTGGACACAAATCAGATCCCGATCAGATTGCTAATTAGTTCGAAGAATTCCTTCCAGGTATTCTTTCCTTTAAAATGAACATCATGTTCGCACAGCACGAACTAGTCTAAGAAACCCTGCAAACCAGGCCCCGTAACCTGCTCTCAGAAGTGGCCGTTCGCTTGAGGAGATGAAAATAGAGCGGGAGGGGGGATAGTGGGGTTGAGGAGCGAGGGGCAGTGAAAGATCAAACAATTTCTTATTCAAGATTTCGAAAAAATTCCTGGCTTCCGCAAAGTCAAGTAGTCGCCCACTTTTGAGAAAACGAAATCAAAATGGAGGGGAGTAACAACGGAGTAAATGAGACGTTTGCCTTTGCAAGAAAACTGGTATGGAGGAAGCAGTGAAGACTCATTCGATTGTTGATCCATTTCCATCCAAAATTTTATGCGGTAGCTTGTCAGTACGCTGATCCTTCTGAGTGAGCATAAGGTGTAAGAACGCGCGTGCTTAGGAAATCTCAGGAATGAGGTCTCTGAGCAGCACTCGACCCTTGCAGTGAGCCGGTCATGGGTCCCGGTTCCAATACGGTGACCCTGTGCTAACCCCACTCCTTAGCCGGTCTACGTCCTAAGGTCCCTTTTCAACGCGTCGTTTATGTGACGGGTGGGGATTTTCACATTCAAATAGGTTTATACCGTGAAAAGAAATAGGTTGTCTGTGAAGTTCTGCGTCCATTGCATTTCATTTCACTTCAAATTCACTGTAGGAGCCGAGTTTTCCAAATGAATTTTCGGTGAACATTCGGTCAGCGCTGGCACCTCCCAACTACATTTTCACCTTTTCTTTTCGGTGGAAATGTAGTTGGGAGGTGCCAGCGCCCTTCCGTCTCGTTGCTCTGCGTCTCTGACATAGGCGGCAGAGACTGTCGCCTAAACCTACACCTTGAAGAAACGCCGGGCGAGTTGTCGCGAGACATTTGTCAAGGTTCTGGACATTTGTCAAGTATATAGCTTGTGAATCAAGCAATTCGTTGCGGGACCCACGCTATCGACTACTCTCGTTTCATTTTGGTGCTACTTATGAATTGTTGTTGGAAGAGATGATGTTAAGAGTGTCCGCACCCATGAAAGATCCGGAATTAAGGGAAGAGATGACAATATACGTTGTTTGAAAGGTAAGCTGTCGTTTTGCCAAAGAATATTAGCTTTTCCACCGAGTAGAAATCTCCTCTGGATCACTGGCCCTGACAACATGAAGAAGTAGGGAGAAGCAAGATCTGCATTCTTACTGCTTCCTTCTCAAAGATTATCATATTACGGCGACCTTGAAGCAAATGGCATGGCTTTAGGATCAGCGTAATATAATTGAAGTTAATGTAGTCCTAGGTGCATGAGCACACCGCTTTGCCTCACAATACATTGCACTGGATCAAATTGGTCTTCAAATACACTGCTGTCATGAATGAAAGTTCATTACCTGGCACGTTGCTACCCGATGTACTGCGCTCCACTTCCCTTTTCAGCCTAATAAATATACGAGGCTTTTAGAAAATGGCATCAAATTGCATTGAGAGAAGGACTTCAAAAAAANAAAAAAAGTGTGCCATTTCGCTTCAAAACGCATTTAAATGAAGTCATACCATTAGACCAAAAGGAAACATGCACGTTGTTCCCATTATTTAAAATGAGTAAGGTTGTAATTGATAATGTGTCTTTTAGTTTCGTTTTACTGATTAGCCTTTTCCCGTGACGCAGTCTTGGTTTTGAACATCACTCCATTTCAATCAAACGTTTTATAGTGGCACTCTTACCGGATGGGTTATTAATGTTAATGTAATGTAATCGAAATCATTTTATTGTGGCTCTCTACACAGTGAACCGTTGAGAAACCGTTTCAGGTTACAGGTTATATGACGTATCGGAAGGAGGAGGCACAAAAGTTTACGAAAAAAGTTCCGCCCTACAGAAAGTGTATGCCTGTTGTCCAAAGAAACGAGCAGCTGAGTGAAATTTGAACTGAAATGGAAATACTTGCCGTCCTGGATCCCCGTTTCTACATCCATCGGGAAAGACTTCGTAAAGCTCTTCTCTTCCCATGGTTCGCCTCTTATTTTCGAAATTTTCCTCCCAAGATGTCATATAACCTCTTTCGAACAACGTATTATGCCACCTTTTCCTTTACATTCGGATTTTTCTTGTGTGCGGGCACTCGGAACATCAAAGTGAAGCTACAGTAAAGGCACGATGGCGTGGGTCCCGCAACGAACTAGATTCGAACAGTGGGCAACTTGCCAAAAAAACTCGGCCGGCGTTTCTTCAGGGTGTAGGTTTAGGCGACAGTGCGGCAGAGTACCCAGAGTGCTGATATGTCCTCTTAATAGTGATAGAGAATGAATTCTTCAAAAAGGGGAGAAGCTCCGGGGTGGGTGAGAAGTAAACGAAGTCCAAAAAGTTGAAATGACCTAGAATAGCTCTTCAATAACTGCTTCAGTCGACGCGTGCAGTGCGTCCACGGCCGCAATCGTTTTATTGCAGTCAACCCATTCCACTCTTGCCTACTTTACCACAACTTTTTCTTGTCCTTGCACTTACTTCTCACACACCCCGCAGCTCCTCCCCTTGTTAAAGAACCCCCCAACTACATTTTCACCGAATTTTCGTTCTTGTGTAAGCGCTCTTGACTACAGCGAGCCCTCTAAATGCATTTTCACCGAACTCGAGAGTTTGAATTATTCAACGTTCGTGTTCCTTTTTTTTGAAGAGAACGTCGTGATAAGTGTTGAACAGTACGTAACTGAAACGGAGCACTTGTGATAATCCATTCGCTTATTCATTAGTTCACTAATTTCAATCTTCTCGTGTAAATCTTTTTCAGAGGGCAAAAAATGGGAACGAAGCTGTCCGTGTCAATTGAAGGCGCGACGAAGCCTGAAATCGCACCTCGTATCGATCGCCCACCCACGTTTGATCCCCAGTACGGTTTCGAAAAGCCTCGAAAGGTACGTTTTCAGTACTACTGAAGAGCTGAAAAAAAAAGCTGTTAGCATCGCACTGGAAAGTTTATGCAGCAGCCTCGTTTTATTGGTTTCACATATATTTATATGATATGTGCAAAAAAATTAAATGGGTAAAATTTTTATTGATACTAGATGTGTATATATGCATGTACAATATATATATATATATATATATATATATATATATAGTACCGATCGAATTTAACGCATGCAATATGCTCCTTTACAAGTTTTTTGAACGTACAGAATGACTGAAATTTTGCCAGTTGTACGCAATGGAAATTAAGGAAAATGGCAATGTTTGAGAGCTAAAACTGATGTGTGACCAGGAAAAATCGTCATTTTGATAAGTAACAACATTCAAGGATACAACTTTTTACTTTGAAAATGTTTTTACAAGTAGGTGAAGCCAGCTAGGAAAACCGTATAGAAAATGCACAATATAGTACTTTGTGGCCATGCCCTTCGTATGAATCGCGGTGTGACACCAATTATGCCTTGAGGTTAGGACTTTTCTAGGGTTGAGACTAAAATAGCCTCTAGGGTTCCTCAATCTATGCGAACTTCTTATTCGCATACCTAGATTTGTACCTTTCGCAGATCTTCGGATCTTCCCATAAAAGCTTGAATGGGTTCAAATGTGACTATCCTATTTTATTCACTTTCTTAGGGTTTGACCAATTGTGAACTTTATAAGTGTCAAGACAAGATTATTGTCTTGCTAGAGGATTCCGAACTCTTGCTACGCCTTGAATAAGACAGTGGATTAAACACTTCTTTTTCGACCAGCATTTGATTCTAATGAAAAGGATCTACTTTATTCGCGTGAGGGCACTTTCACAGTAACAAGTTAGGTCTTCGTGTTTTAGTTTGAGAAATTGGTATCGTTGACAGTGCTTTTGTCCTTTAGGCTTTCTGACGGCACATATACTTCATCTGTACTACTCACTAAAAGCACGATAACCCACTCGAGGAGTCTTTCTCGTGGGCGTTTTGGTGGGAATTCGAATCGTGTATCGATTACGTTGTAAACCGGATACACTGTAACTCCAAGCCCAATAGCCTCTAGCGATGACCATGCACTTTGGAGAACTTCAGAGTTCCAAGGAACGTGCCTCCGGCTAAGATTGCCAAAAGTTCAAAGAAGAAAGCAAAACAACAAATTTGAAAATGTTATCAATGTGGGAAATAATTCTTGCCGTACATAGTGATAATTCCCTCCTACGATTGAAATCTCCCAATCTCTATGGTAGTATATTAGGTTCTGTCTGCAAAAAAAAAAACATAGAAACTAGATCGGTCGATGATCCTTCTCCGAAAATTCGATTTACGTTTACATAGCAATATATGTACATATACAATATAACATCATATACATATATGTATATGATGTTATGTGCTCTTTTATTTGTTTGCTGTACTCTTCATTATGCCCCCTGCGTGTTCCATTCTCCACAACAGCTTCAATTTTAGTGAACACTGAAAAGCTGATAAACATTCTTGTAGTTAGTAGTCCGTAGGTAAACATAGTTGAATTCTCTGTTGTGGCTCTCTTGAGCGCTTTGTCCCCTGTCGTCTTCTGATTTGATGAATTATGTGGAAAAGGCATACCTGATGGTTGACAACTTGATCTTAAATAAGGATGTACGTCTAAATGTATCACTGGGTTTCTATCGTCAAATAATACTTGATAATGATTTATTTGATCGTACTCTACCTATTTTTATCTGATATAAATTAGGTGAGAGAGATGAAAGCGACATGGGAAGAAATGGAGCGGTTCAAATTGAAAGCCGGTCAACGCGATTATTGCGCTCACTTGTTAATTGACCTCATGAAGTGCCAGGTTTGCTTTACTTTTTCTCGTTTCTGCTTTTAGATTTCCGAGATTCAATTCATTCAGTGGAACTGGATGGCTTGCTTCCACTTTTTTATATTTTTTTTGTTATTTTTTAAGTAAATATTAAACGTTGGGTCTCTAGAGAGCGAATGCACCGTTTGCTGGACATATGTGTGACGGAGAACGAGGTGCATGGGACAAATGCGAATATGATGATTATATTATGCGCATCAAGGTAAGGATTGGCCATTGGATTTCCGCTGGAAAGCAGCAAAAACAATAATTGAATTGAAATGCTATGGATTTAAAAAACTGTAAACTTTTCCGTGCGTGTAATAAGGGCACCGGTCTTTAGTCATACACTGACCCTCGGTAAGTGAATAATATGAGTCGTACTCGAAAAAGGAAGGTCAGCCTGGGTCATCAAGAAGAACGGCTGATTAAGTTTCATGTGACTCGTTGTTTTATAGTTTTTCGAACATATATAAATTTTACAATTTTTTCCATGTCAATTCATCATATCGCAATTAATTTGGCTTTTGTGGTACAGAGCAGCTCGTGGTTGATATCCGCATTTCTTTAATCGGTGGCTGAAAACTTACTCTAGGAATTTGAACGCGAACGTCGTCTCTTGATGCGGAAACAGCGCAAGGAGGCCATGGCAGCAGCATGAATCGATGGATGGTTAGGGAATAGATTTAGAAATGTCTCGCTTCTATATTTTTCTATTGGGTTGAGTGTATAGTGAATAAATTTCTGCTCTTACTCGTTGTTCAAACACAGATGTACTTCATAACATGGGATACTTCATGATTTGCTTGGTTTCTTTTTCATGTTTCTGTATGGCATTCGTTGGAACGATTTACGTTACAAGTGTAATCACAGAATTACTTGATTGTGAGCAGAAGGTCCGTTGTCTGGGAAGTTAGGTTCTAATTCGTTGCAGAACGTTTTGCTTCTAATCCTGCATTCTTATCGTAATATCCGATGCTACTAGGTGCATGAACGATCACGCACTTGTGCTTCTAACAGTCTTTTTGAGATACTATGGAAAAGCTGGTGGCAGAGTGTGAGCTCGACTGCCCTGACGAGAAGCAGATTCAGGTGAATATAATGCTCTATTGAGATCTCTAGAATGTGATCATAGAAATTTCTCGTGCAGAGCTCCAATCTGTAGAACGTTTAAAATGACTTTTATTGTTGGGTTGAAACAACTCTGAGTCACCGAAAAATCCGCTCATTTATCATGGTTGGGAAGCGGGCGCTGTGGAAACTCTAAAGTTTCTGGAGATTCACGTTACAAGCCTGGTAAGAATATGATAAAACACGCAACCAAGATGATAAACTAGCTCTTATACGCCTTGCTCTCAACTTTATCGCCTTCTTCAGGGTCTGGGAATTCAGAGAGAGAGAGATTATTGCTATCCAACCTTCATTCAACAATTAAAACTTACAATACAGTTGTTGAGAGATTTTTGTCGAAATTAAATCCGAAGGGCCACTTAGGTCACCACATGACTTCCGGCGTTCTTTAGTTCAATTTTTTTAGTTCCCATAAATCGGTACCGGCTATCAGGAGTTGCGGTTAACACATATTCCACAGAGTTTTTTCTGCGGCTCAATTTCATTCATTATTTTCTCCTGTCAACTTTATATAACTGTGTCCCCCCTTTTTCTAATGACTCGGTTTTCAGGTTTTCGAAAAGTGTCTTGCACTGTTGCGACCTGATTGTGATGCACGTAGCAAATCGTTAGCATGGTTGCTGTTATCGAAGATTGTTGAGAAGTTCGCAATTTTTGTTCGATTGCTTGTTGTGCTTGTTAACAGTCGCTCTGCAACCTTGGCCTTCTGCAGTGGTACACCTAGTACTGTGCTGAATACCCTTACCAAGAGAAATGTATACCTCATTACCCACAACAGCTTTTCGTAAGAGGAACAAACTAGTTGAGATTAAATAAAACCTCAAGCTTAGATATCTTAGTAAGTCTTGTTTGTTATGAACTATATGTAACTCTTTCACAGTAGTTTCATTATGGCGTTGCAGATGCAGTTCCCAGTGTCTTCGAGCTGTACAGTCACGTCTGGGAAAGAAATTAGCTGATGTCAAGAATGACCCAAACATTTATAGCGGTCTTTTTGTACGAGAGTTGCTTATCAGAAATCCCCAGGTAATTACGAATTGATCAGTGGTATTCGATGCATTCCATCATTTGATGGTATTCTTTCTTACCTATAGTTCCTTTTTATATTTCCCGTTACAATTAGACTTCAGGTGGGAAACCTGCATGCAGATCTCGTTCAAGACATCATATTGCGGTTCATTGATATGGCCGCGACGAGCAGTGATTCAACTATCAGGTACACTGCCTTGTAGAGTACGCCCACTCATATCTATACGAGAATATCATTTGGTTACAGGAAGCTTTGCACTGAACTTTATGCCATTCGTTATGGTTGTGATGCACAGATGTCCCAGAGACTCTTGGCCACACTTTCTGCTGCCATTTCTAATCGCCTGTTGTCTCAAGAAGAGCGGGCAGGTTCGTCAAAGTTCGAAGGATTGTTCTGTTGCTTCTGGAATCCACTATTTCGTTTTTGAAATTTCATTTTTTTTTTCGTCCGTCCTTGTCTGTTCGACTATATGGAAGGGTGATAAGTCACTTCAACTCTTTGGTTCCAGTCGTGCTTGATCTTAAATCGCTCGGAATTTCCTCTTTGCGTAATGATCTTTGCAAGCTTCTTTTCGACATATTCTCTTCGGCTCTCTCTCGTGCGAAGCAAGGTGCGTACTATGCCCTTGTTTGTTTGTTGTCCAGTACTTGAGTTGCTTACAATAGAAGCCCATGTATCTAATTCAAGGTCAGTATATCACATGCGAACCTGTTATGAAAATTTTGGATGATGCTCTTAACGATACTTCGCTGTGCGATGCAGCGTTGACTACAATCCAGTCTATCTGTGAAAACGGAAGGCACTCAGCGTTACCTATTGTATGTTTTGGCTCCATTTCTACTTTGCATTGCTTTCTTAGATTTGACTTGTCGGTAAGTAAGTAGTCATTTGAGCTGTAACAGCAGAATTGTGCATGACTTCATCTGGCGTCGACCTTCTTTGAGTTCTGAAGCTTCTATCATGAAGTAGTTTTCATTGTGCTCAATCAAGGCGATTGCATTCGAATGATGAATCCCATATTTTGGCGTGCTGCATTGTAGGCGAAAAATTTTCTTGTTTTCTGGTTGAACAAAGTTGCTGCAGTGGAAGCTATTTGTTGATAAGTTTGTATCAGCAGTAAACAGCCAAAAATTAAACTCATATCAAACATTATACAAGATAGAAAGTTAGAACTTCTCATCCGCATTTGAAATAGTTCCTCTTCAGTGGGGAAGCTGCACTCTAGGAATAACAAGCAATACTGAACTTCTCGGAAGCGACTCGTTTTTTAGGTTCTATGTGAAAATTTAAATTTCTCATATCATTTCTCCATATTCAGATTCCTCGAATGGTTTTGATGCTGATTTCTAAGTTGGACTCGAATAGTAGTACTTTGTACGAGACCTTGGCGCATATATGCAGACTCTATGGTCCTGGTTCAACATTGTTTCGACATTTCTACGAGATTTTCAGTTCTATGAAACATCCATTGGAAGAGCAGGTAATTTTGTTTCACTGACAATTTGTTTCGATCTTGCAAAGGAGGTCGCTTATCTGGGACGTAAACTCTTCTGCAGACCGCAGATGCATTCAAAAATGTCAGCTATAACATCTGAATTCATTTCTTTTCAGGACTACGGTTCTTCGGCTGGTCATTTGTTGTCGGCAATCATTGAAACCTCGGCGTTTTTGATCAAACCCGAGGTAAGGCACCTGTCATGGCCGCGATTTCCACAAAAAGTGTTTATCATTCCCAGGTTTTGATCTCGATACAACGGAAAATATGCGAGGAGATTCTCCGAAAACCTGAGTCTGTTGTGTATCGAGGGGTATTAATATCATTCCTCAGTTGCAGTCACGAATTAGTCGCGGCCCCCGTACAGGTGAAATCTCTCCCTTATTTCTTCTAACTTCTGGCTTCTAACTTGTGGAATTTATTATGCAGCTACCCTAGATTATTCCGAAGAGGTTCAATTCAGGTCGCGCGTACCGTCATAGCCAGATGTGCGGATACAACGGACCTACAAACGCTTCGATCGCTATGTGATGTATTGACAAGGCCACGAATCCAGGTACTACAGTGGAGCATTTTTTGGAATATACCATCTAATTCTTCGATTTGTTCTCTCTTTTTATGATTGATTTCATTTTTGATTCTCAAAAAAATTCAATTTTTTAAGTTCGGTTTCAAAATTTTTGACAAAACATATTCCAATGTTTTCTTTGTGCTTATCTTTATTTATTTTGTACTTATTTTTATTTATATAAAAGCTGTGCGATCATTTGGAAAAGATATTATGGTAAATCCATGATCGTGGCATTGATTGCGGCATAGCAAGAACTTGGATAAAGCAGTATACCTAGACTCACATCTGCACTCATTACCAAGGATGGTCCATCCAAATCTTTTCGAAAAGAATTTTTCGGTTTGGACAGCTATTTACGCTAACAATATAAGCGAGCAGGTTTTTCGCGTAGTTGTTTTCGAGGTGTGGCTGTTGAAACAAGGTTCATTTATTTGCCAAAAAAAAAATTGTTTCTTTACATAAGATTCTTTCGTCACTTTTAGAAAATTGACTTTTCAGGACCTGGCTCATAACGTAGTTGCTCGACGTCGTATGGCGAATGTGGGGCAAGATTGTACCAGAGATGGCATGGATACTGAAGTATGTTGTTCTGGCTATAGCCTTGAACTTCCTATCATGTTGTTGCAGGAAGGCATGTGGTGCAGGAATAAACAGCTAGTACTGTACTCGTTGATTTTGTCCAAAGTTTTTATTCAAGTTGTTGTAGGATATTATGCTGACAATGGATAGAACAAGTGGTGGAAATTTTGCGGAATTTGACAAACGAGTTGAGGAGGCTATAGGCGAAGTTAAGCAGCCGAAAGCAGACACTGATCAAGTGGTGGATTCCCAGATAGTGCCTTCTACGTCGTTTCCTACGTCCAAAAGTGATGTTACGGCAAGTATAATCTCTCCATAAATATAGCATCGCCGTAACCACACCAAGCCGTAAAAGTGGAATGTTTCTTTTTATCTGACTGCTTTCTGTGAAAAAAAGGTAATTTGTTTTCTGCGAGGGTTAACAAAGGGATTGTCAAGGGTCGAGTTATTAAGGATCCTTCATATCTTCCGCATTTTCAGATCACAATAGACGAGGGATTGCGTTGCTATCTTTACAACTCAGGCTCTCAATTTCGTATGTGGATTTCTGCCTTATTGCTTCAGGATTCACCACGGGCTAAAGAGCTGCCAGTTGAAGTAGAAATGTTGGAAACTGAATCTGAACCGCCAGGACCAACCCAGGAGCCGGTCGTAAAGAAAGCCAAGTTTGTGAGGAAAAAAGCGAAGGCACAAAAGCAAACAGAGGTAAGATTGCTATCGAACAAAGTCGCCATATAGCGTGATGGCATTCCGAAGAAACAGCCAATTCTTGCATTAATGATTGATACCCTGAGGGTCAGACATGACATCGCAGGCTTATACAACAAAACTCCCCAGTGCTTCATCCTTCCTCCCAATTCTTGATATCTTCAAAACCGTTGCAATAGAGGCGTACCACTCGACTTCTCCCAGAGCATGAAAGTCCTCGTATATCTGGGATTCCGATCCTCGAGTTACGACGCTTATTATCGGAATCCTTGTCCCGTTTTGTTTTTTGTTTAGAAGAAGTTCCGTTACTAGTTTTAAGCATTAGCTCTCAGACTCTTAAGCGGCCAATGATGTCACGCATAAACTGACAAAACTCTGGAGGGAAGCAGACTCATTTATACTTGAGCAGGCTGGTTGTTCGAGGGAAATTTTAAGATGTACCTTGTATAACTTAATTATAGTTTCGCCCAAAATTCCCTTAAAAACTTGCATAAAAAAGAAAACCTTCAAAAGCAGAAGAAATAAAGTACATAGAAGGAAATTTGCGTATAAATGGTAGCATCCGAATTTTCTAAAAGGCTGATCTCACAGGTGAAAATTACGGTTTGAGCCCAGTGGTAAAGGTTTGCGGTTTAGGCCGCTATTACATGAACAGGACACCCAACTTATGGTTAGAGCTTGATAGGAAGAAGATGAATTCATCTGGCTGCCGGAATGTCATGCGTCATTGTCTTCTACAATTTTGACGGCTTTATCGGGACTTTCAAGCCGTGATAGCGTTCAGAAAGATGCGCCCATCAACCTCAGCCGTGCATTTTCGATCGTCATCAGATACTTCATTTGTGTCAGCCGTCAAATAGTCCTGCAATCTGACGGCTTGATATTTTGTTCGAGGCTACGCAGTTAGCGGCTACTTTGAAGTCTAAGGAAGGCATCGTCGAAACATGACACCACTTCTATGAAAAAAGTTATTGAAAACCTCTATATGAGCATGAACGGCCGCATTTCCAGGCTGTGCGGAGAAAGTGCTTCAAAAGGTTATTAAGTTCTTACGATGGTTTTTTGTTACGTTGCGATTGTTGAGTAGCTTCTTTTTTCTAAATGGAGACTATAATGCGGCAATATTGGTCAAGTGGCATCTTTCACAAAAAAAAACCACATGTTTTCATTTCGAAAGTTGGTACAGCACGCAAATTCTTCTCATGCTTGGCTCATTTATCTGGAGGTCTTCCTGAGCATTATTTTTGTGCTAGTTTTCACGATACTTCTAAGTGGGAACAGTTTTTTTGCCAAATTCTTTCTTAAAGTTTCACCCTGAGCTAGCGGTTGCTGATAATTCACTGGAAACAGATCTCAAACCAACAATCTTCAACGCGCCTTCGGAGTGCGAGAGGTCGCAGCTCGTACCACCCGTGAATCGGTCCTTACCGAATAGAAGCCTAAATTCATATACAACCATGCAAGCATAAATAGATGTTCATAGTTGAGCGTTGAATCCAAAAGAGCTGTGGCAGAGTTTTTTCCTAAGAAAGGAAATGTTTCGCAAAATGGTTGTGTACTGGAGTCCATGCAGGCCACTTGCAAATTGAGTTCATTTTTTTTGAAATGTTTTGAGAACTCAGAAGCGGTGAAGGGGATGTTTTAACGGTGGAGAGAAGTTTTTATAGTATTAGGTATGCTTTCACGCAAATATCCATAATCAGAGAGTATTAGTTTGCGGGATCTCGTTCAACTCTTTTCAGACGGTAACACTAATGGAAGGAGAAGCAACGGTTGACGAGATCCTCAGCACATTCTGTCCGGAATAGGTGTGACAATTTGTTATAGTAATCTTGTTGAAATGGTTAGTTGTTCTGTTGTTTGTTGTGATATTAAGATACTGCATGAAAAGTTTCAAAAATACTTCACACATTTGAAGGTTATCTCTAGCTATCTTTAGTTTATTTTCCTCAGGTAGTCGTTCAGGAACGTTGCTCAATACATTCGTTTCAACAGTTCAATTTTTCACCTCTCATACTGCTGTAATCTAGTATTTCAGTTGATCCTACAACGGTGACCACCAAGCGGGAAGCCCTTGTAGACATCCCATCTCTTTATGGGCTGTCAGATCCATGCAGCGCTTCCAACCCTGTCGTTCAAGATTACTAATTGGGAGATAGAAGTGCGGCCGTATTGGCCTTCTTTCTGTTGTCACGTCTAGAGGGAGCGATTCACATCCTTACATTTTCGAATAGGAAAAATCAGAGTTTAGTCAGGAGTAGGCAAGCGCCATAAAGTGGGTGTTTTGACGAGGTTGCTTTGGAACAGCAAGGCGAGTTCTGAGAACATTTATTCTACAACGTGTATCATCAGAGAACATCTTAAAATCAGAATGCTTTGAATTCATAGCTGAGCAGTCAGTGCGGAGAACAGCCATAACCCGCTAATCATTAATAAAATTAGGAGTTCTTCAATCCTTACAAACAGATTGTGTCTTCTATACAAACAGGAGATGAACTCAGTAACATGACTGGATGAAGCTTTTCCTAGTCATGAGAATGACCGATTTTACAATTACGTGAGTCGAAACCAGTAAGAGTCATATTATAGAAGAGCTTGATCTGCTATACGAGTAAGATTATACAAAATATTCAAATATGGCTAGTTTTACACAGAATATAATTCCCATTTGGAACTGCGAGGCGTATAAAACAAATTAAGATTAGTAATGAAAAATTATGTCGTTCATCGTTTCATCGTAATTATTAAACATTTTCATGGCACCCACGGTGATTGCGGCTGGGGAAGGAAAGCGTCTACTGTTAGGGAATACTGCAGTAGATTCTGATATTCCCTCATATTCCGAGCTTCCAATTCTTCAATCATCGCGACTTCTTCATTGCTACGTCGCAGTGCTAACGAGTGAAATGCATGAATTGTTCAAAAACATACACAGAAATAAAAGTTGAAAATGGCAAATGAAACTTGAGAACTCGCTAAAATGTTAAAATGTGGTAAGAATGGTTTTTCCTAATGTGGACGGTAGTGTTGGACGAGTTTAAGACTGCAGCAATCGGGGAGAAGTTCCGTTACCCAGCATTCTTCAGTAGCCAATGTATTTGATGGCTTGGAGTGTGGCAGGTCTTTAGCCAATTGACGTGTTCAATAAAATGACGAGATTATGAAATAACAGGGGCAAATCTCACATATCAACAGCTTTCAGTTCAAGTAGCCGGTTAGTGACGACATGGCGCGACCCCAGGTAGCGGAAAGGGAAGCAAATCGCTAAATAAAGGTCACCGATACCTGCCCAAAGACGCAGATGAACTCAGGGGATGGAATCCCGTTTCTGCTCACTTGTATCTTCTGTATCCTCCAGATGTATTACGGACAAAGGAGTCAGGTATGATTACCCGCAGATTCGCAAAAAAAAAGTTGCACGTACCTATGTACGACCCTCTACTACACAAGCTGAATTGAAGGATCATTCATGCCTTAACCGATACCGGCAGAGCGTCCATTTGTCACTCTCTCCTTTCTCGCCGAATCTCATAGTCTTCTACTGTGGGGGCATCTTTACCAAGGTTTGTCTTTGCAAGGATTCGCTGTGGGGCCTCTATTGGTACGATACCACGGCTGTGGCCCCGCCCCTAACCGAAACGCACAGTGTTAAGTAATAGTTCGAATAGGGTAAGGGTGAAAGAGGGTGTAACCAAGTTGGAAGGTTGAAGGT